ATACGCCCACATTTTAATACTGTTGGAGTTGGAAGGGGATTGATTTTGTCATTTGGAACTTGTTGCTGCTGGGATTTATAGTTCACCTACAATGAAAGAGCATTCTGAACACTATCAGTTATGGAATTGGGCAAACTTCCCACACAGCACCCCCATGACCAACAGAAAATACTGTGTTTTCTGATGGTCTTTGGCGACCCCCTCCGACACCCCCTTGAGACATATAAAGACAAGGGTAGGTTTAATGAGATATTAGTTTCACATTGAGTGGTGTCGGAAGTCATGGGTGGTGGTTCACAGGTGGGAGTGAGTGTGATAGAGCGATGTATTTATTTTGTGAGCATTTGATGCATTTCCTTTATCTTCTTTTACATTCTGTATACCAACTTTACACGACAAAATTTACATGAATAAATAAATGAGACAAAGTTCCCTCCTTTGTCTGAAACTGGGCCCCTCCCTCCCTCCTTCCCTCCCTCCCTGCCCTCCCCTCATCCAAGAGTCTCCTTTAATGACACATAAATGATGTGATGACAATTATCATAATGTAACTCTGTAAATGGCAAGACTGGACCTTTGAATGCAGACTTTTGGGCTTCACCCACCCTTGCGACCATCCCCTTTGACCCTTGGCATTGTCAGACTGGGCACAGAAGGTCAAAGGTGCCTGGCCTCACACAGAAGAGGCAATGGAGCAGGCCAGAGAGACTGGCAGGACGCATGCGGGGGGAAAAGGGGGAGCAAATGGGGATTGGAAACCACTGCAATTTGTAATGTGGGGTTCCTCAGGGTTCAATACTGTCTCCCATGTTGTTTAATATCTACATGAAGCCGCTGGGGGAGATCATCCGGAGCATATACAACCACAATTTAAACTCAGAACGGCGCCCAATAAACCTATGGTGGCAACTGTTGTAATACATGGCCAACTGTACACAAGAACAAGGGAATGGGATCCTGCAAATTGTAGCTCAGGAAGAAGGGCATGGGACGAAAGTGCGCACCACTGGGGCTAGTTTGCATTCTCAAAGGCTTGTCTGAACATCTAAGTCTCCAAATCATAGAATCCTAGAATCAAAGAGTTGGAAGAGACCTGGTGGGCCATCATTCAGTCCAACCCTATTCTGCCAAGAAGCAGGAATATTGCATTCAAAGCACCCCTGACAGATGGCCATCCAGCCTCTGTTTAAAAGCTTCCAAAGAAGGAGCCTCCACTACACTCTGGGGCAGAGAGTTCCACTGCTGAACCACTCTCACAGTCACAAAGTTCTTCCTCATGTTCAGATGGAATCTCCTCTCTTGTAGTTTGAAGCCATTGTTCCGCGTCCTAGTCTCCAGGGAAGCAGAAAACAAGCTTGCTCCCTCCTCCCTGTGGCTTCCGCTCACATATTTATACATGGCTATCATATCTCCTCTCAGCCTTCTCTTCTTCAGGCTAAACATGCCCAGCTCCTTAAGCCGCTCCTCATAGGGCTTGTTCTCCAGACCCTTGATCTGCTCCCTCCTCCCTGTGGCTTCCTCTCACATATTTATACATGGCCCTCATCATATCTCCTCTCAGCCTTCTCTTCTTCAGGCTAAACATGCCCAGCTCCTTAAGCCGTTCCTCATAGGGCTTGTTCTCCAGACCCTGGATCATCCTCCTCCCTGTGACTTCCTCTCACATATTTATACATGGCTATCATATCTCCTCACAGCCTTCTCTTCTTCAGGCTAAACATGCCCAGCTCCTTAAGCTGCTCCTCATAGGGCTTGTTCTCCAGACCCTTGATCATTTTAGTCGCCCTCCTCTGGGCACCTTCCATATTTATACATGCCTATCATATCTCCTCTCAGCCTTCTCTTCTTCAGGCTAAACATGCCCAGCTCCTTAAGCCGCTCCTCATAGGGCTTGTTCTCCAGACCCTGAAGCTTGCTCCGTCCTCCCTGTGGCTTCCTCTCACATATTTATACATGGCTATCATATCTCCTCTCAGCCTTCTCTTCTTCAGGCTAAACATGCCCAGCTCCTTAAGCTGCGCTCCTCATAGGGCTTGTTCTCCAGACCCTTGATCTGCTCCCTCCTCCCTGTGGCTTCCTCTCACATATTTATACATGGCTATCATATCTCCTCTCAGCCTTCTCTTCTTCAGCCTAAACATGCCCAGCTCCTTAAGCCGCTCCTCATAGGGCTTGTTCTCCAGACCCTTGATCATTTTAGTCGCCCTCCTCTGGACTTATTCCATCTTAGAGTCAGCATCTCTCTTGAATTGTGGTGCCCAGAATCCTCTGGAAGGAGGACAATGCTGGGCAGGGGGGTTGCCTAATTGTAGAGTTGCAGCCAAACAGACATCCAGGTATGTCAGACTTTTTGTGGCCAAAGGTGTCACCAATTTTGCAACTGGGGAGTTGGACCTTCCCATAAACTACCAACTGATGGAGATCAACACAGGTAAGAGCTGAACTATTGGATTCCCACCTGCACCAAAAAAGCTTGCAGTGCTGTGTTGACCCCTCTGGGTGAAGGGGAGCAGGTCACTCTCCGAAATGTTCAGGCCAAGCTCTAAGGAAACATCATGCAAAACCACCAAAGAACCCTGCCTCCCCTTGTGCTTTTTCAGGAGCAACCCGAAAGAGATGGAGGGCTCCCCCCAGTTTCTGCCATTCTTTGGGCCAGGGGCTCTCCACCTGTGGGCCCCTCCCCAGAAGTTTTGGCCTCCAACTCCCAGAAGTCCCAGCCAGCTGACCAGCAGTGAGGAACTGTGGGAGCTGGAGTCCAAATCCCCTGGAGGCCCAAAGGACCTTAGAGAGACCCCCAGGGAGGGAGGGAGGGGGGAGGAGGAAGTTCCCCCCTCCGCCCACAAGGCAACTCTCAAACGGTTCTGGCCCAGATTACCTGTCCGAACGTATCTCCTGCTATGAACCATCACAAAGCTTAAGATCATCAGGAGAGGCCCTGCTCTCGATCCCACCACTCTCGCAAACGCGGTTGGTGGGGACGAGAGACAGGGCCTTCTCGGCAGTGGCCCCCCGTCTGTGGAACTCCCTCCCCCGGGACACCAGGCAGGCCCCCTCCCTCCAAGTGTTTGAGGAGTGGGCAGCGGCAACTGGAAATGCGACCTTGAATCTGCCCAGGCTGGGATGTGGCTTTTACTGGAGCGTTTAAGTTCTTGTCTCAATGAATCGTATAAGACTTTTCAATGTCTCCGAGTGTATTTTGGGCTGTCTGATATGTTGATGGCAGAGTGTGGTGCTCGCCCCGGGTCGCCTTTCAGGGGGAGGGGGAGGAGGGCGGGGTCCAAATGCATTCCTTCCATCTATATAAATAAAAACGTCATGTTTGTTTGTGGGATTAGCATAAGTCAAAAACCACTGGCCGAATTGACAAAATACTGGAAAGGTTTGGTGGGCATTGACCTTGAGGTTTGGAGTTGTAGTTCACCTACATCCAGAGAGCACTGTGGACTCAAACAATGATGGATCTGGACCAAACTTAGCATGAATATTCCATGTGCCCAAATTTGAACACAGCCCGGATTGATTACTGCAACGCGCTCTACGTGGGGTTGCCCCTGAAGACTGCCCGGAAGCTTCAGATGGTCCAGCGCTCGGCAGCCAGGTTGCTAACGGGAGCGGCACTCAGGGAGCACCACTCCTCTGCTGAGCCAGCTCCACTGGCTGCCAATCCGCTACCGGGCACAATTCAAGGTGCTGGCTTTAGCCTATAAAGCCCTAAATGGTTCTGGCCCCACTTACCTCTCCGAACGCATCTCCACCTATGAACCGACTAGAACATTAAGATCGTCTGGGGAGGCCCTGCTCTCGGTCCCGCCTGCGTCACAGGCGCGCTTGGCGGGGACGAGAGACAGGGCCTTCTCAGTGGTGGCCCCTCGGCTATGGAATGCCTTACCGGCAGACATCAGACAGGCACCTTCGTTGCTGGCGTTTCGGAGAAAGGTTAAGACCTGGCTTTATGAACAAGCATTTGGTTGAACAGTGCAACCAATCAAGGAAGACGGTAAATGGAACATAGGAATGGCACAAGGATTATGAGAACGGATCTGATTTCACTGAGGCGTTATGTTGTGTGTGTTGACTGTCCTGTTCTGTTTTGTTAACTGTTGTGGATTGATGTTGTTGATCCTGTTTGTCGCACTTGTTGCGTTTTAATTGCACTGACACTGTTGATAATTTGTACCATGTAAACCGCATTGAGTCGCCTGTCTGGGCTGAAATATGCGGTATAGAAATAAAGCAAATAAAAATAAATAAAATAAAACTCTACAAGAATACTCCATATGCCCACATGTGGACACTGGTGGAGTTTGGGGGAAATAGAACCTTGGCATTTGGGAGTTGTCGTTGCTGGGATGTATAGTTCACCTTGGAGGAGTTTGGGGGAAATGACATTTGGGAAGTTGTAGTTGCTGGGATTTATAGTTCACCAATCAAGAGCATTCTGAACCCCACCAACGAGAGAATTGGGCCAAACTTCCCACACAGAACCCCATGACCAACAGAAAATACTGGAAGGGTTTGGTGCATTGACCTTGAGTTTTGGAATTGTTAGTTCACCTACATCCAGAGAGCACTGTGGACTCCAAACAATGATGGATCTGGACCAAAACTTGGCACGATACTCAATATGCCCAAATGTGAACACTAGTGGAGTTTGGGGAAAATAGACCTTGACATTTGGGAGTTGTAGTTGCTGGGATTTATAGTTCACTTCAATCACAGAGCATTCTGAACCCCACCAACGAGAGAATTGGGCTGAACTTCCCACACAGAACCCCCATGTGGGCCCCAGCAACGCGTGGCAGGGGGTGGTCGTCAATAATCAATAAACCAAGAAGCTCCTGCCTCTCTTCTCTGCCCGCCCAGGCCTGGCCTGCTCCTGCTGTGGGGGCTCCTGGCCCCTCCGGCCGGGCCCGCTCTCCTCCTCCGCCTGGAGTCCCCCGAGGGGCTTGCCTGGAAGCAGGTCTGAGGGGGAAGCCCCCCCCCCCCGGCCTTGCCCTTACCTTCTCCCCTCACGCCGCCATTCAGGCATTGTTTTGGCCGCCGCCTCCGCCTCCTCCGGAAGTGAGCTCAGAGGCAAGCGCGTCGCACGAGCCTTTCCCCGCCCCTCTAGGACGCAGCAGAGGCCCTCTCGGAGGACTTCCGCCCGGACCAAACATGGCGCCCTCAAGAGAGGCGGGGGGGGGGGGGCTTGGCGTGAGGAAGAGAGGAGGCGGGCGGGCCTTCTTTCCCGAGACTGCACCCCCCACTTCTGGGAGTGGCCCACCTCAGCCTAGATTGCCAGGCCTCCATATTCCATAGCTACGCCTAGAAGGCCTCGCTTTCATAGAATCCTAAAGTGGGAAGAGACCTCCTGGGCCATCCTCAGTCCAACCCACTGCCAAGAAGCAGGAATATTGCATTCAAATCACCCCTGACAGATGGCCACCCAGCCTCTGCTTAAAAGCTTCCAAAGAAGGAGCCTCCACCACACTCGGGGCAGAGAGTTCCACTGCTGAACGGCTCTCACAGTCAGGAAGTTCTTCCTCATGTTCAGATGGAATCTCCTCTCTTGTAGTTTGAAGCCATTGTTCCGCGTCCTAGTCTCCAGGGAAGCAGAAAACAAGTTTGCTCCCTCCTCCCTGTGGCTTCCTCTCACATATTTATACATGGCTAATCATATCTCCTCTCAGCCTTCTCTTCTTCAGGCTAAACATGCCCAGCTCCTTAAGCCGCTCCTCATAGGGCTTGTTCTCCAGACCCTTGATCATTTTAGTCGCCCTCCTCTGGACACATTCCAGCTTAGTCAATATCTCTCTTGAATTGTGGTGCCCAGAATTGGACACAATATTCCAGGTAAAGTGGTCTAACCAAAGCAGGCGTAGAGCCACTGCCTTAGAGGGTTTCCTCGTGGCCATTTCCCTTTGCTTTGGCCCTGTGGGGGGTGACCCTTCTCTGGGCCCCTCCCTCCTTGTCCCTCCCCTTCCTTCCTGAAGGTTGTGGCCAAGGACTGGACCCAGGGTGTTCTTCTAAGGGAGAAGAAGAGAGTGGGGCCATGGACACTCCCAGGGATGCCACCTGGGATCCATTGCATTGCCTTTCTCCGCTGCTGCGTCACACTCCCGGCTCACCTTCTGCTTGGGGCCTACGAAGACTCCTTGCTCCTTTTCGCAGGGATGGTTTCCAAGCCTGTGTCCCCCATCCTATATCTGTAGGCCCACAAAGAAAGACAGACCGATGCACGGAAAGAAGGCGGGTGCATTCAGACTGCCCTGGTTCAGGGCTATGGAACCCTGGGAGATATCTGACAAATCTACAGTGTCCCGGCACCAGCCCTCTTGGAAAGGGGAAAGCTCAAGGCCTTGTGGAACCACATCTCCCAGGGGTCCATGGCACTGAACCAGGGCAGTCTGAATGTGCCCACCTTGTTTCAGTGCATCAGTGTGTCTTCCTTTGGGGGCCTGCAGATATAGGGTGGGGGGCACAGGCTTGGAAACCATCCCAGCGAAAAGGAGTGAGGATCTTTCCAAGCCTGTGTCCCCCATCCTATATCTGTAGGCCCCCAAAGGAAGACACACTGATGCATGGAAAGAAGGTGGGCGCATTCAGACTGCCCTGGTTCAGTGCCATGGAACCCTGGGAGATATTCTATGGTGTCCCGGTACCAACCCTCTTGGAAAGGGAAAGCTCAAGGCCTTGTGGAACCACATCTCCCAGGGTTCCATAGCACTGGACCAGGGCAGTCTGAATGTGCCCACCTTGTGTCTTCCTTTGGGGGCCTGCAGATATAGGATATGGGACACAGGCTCGGAAACCATCCCAGCAAAAAGGAGCGAGGGTCCTTTCCAAGCCTGTGTCCCCCATCCTATATCTGCAGGCCCCCAAAGGAAGACAGACCAATGCACGGAAAGAAGGTGGGCGCATTCACACTGCCCTGGTTCAGTGCCATGGAACCCTGGGAGATGTGGTTCCTTTTCCAAGAGGACTGGTGCCGGGACACCATAGAATTGTGACACACACACACACACACATGGTGAGAATAGGGTGCTACTGTTTTTGTGGGTGTGGTGTGACTCCAAGTCAGCTGCAATCTGTGACAGCCCTGTTGCAGGATTGGAAGCTGGAAGAACAGTGCAGAATTAATGCAGCTTCGTACCACTTGAATGGGCCCGGGCTCAGTGGGTGGGACACCCCAGAAATATAGAGATTTCTCACCTTGGAAGCCGCTCAGGGAACGAGGGAAAGCCACCTGGAACCCAGACTCCGCATGGGATGGACGAGGCTCCTTCCGAGCCCATCCCATTACAATTCAAACCACAATTAAACATAAATCATAATTAAAATAATACATCAACAAGCATTAAAACAATAAAAGTCTCATCACTTTGAACTAGGCCTATATCTTCATCACCCTGAACCCCAGCTCATCGCTCGACCCCTTATCTAAAGATGCTGCTTCTGGCTCAACCGTCTCACCTTGGAGGTATTCACTGTCTGAGTCAATTTCCTTTTCCTGAATCATCAAATCTTTGAACCGGAATCTTCATCACCCTGAACCCCAGGAAATCCCACAATCCCTTCTGATTCATCTGTGAACCCATCAGCCCTGGCTGAACTAGAACAAGAGAAACCCAAGCTAACCCCTTCAATACAGTGGAGGAAACACAGGGGGGTTTCTTTGGGGTTCTTTTTGCAGGAGGCGACTTCCCTTTGTGTTCCTTATGCTGCAAGGACCCCCTCATTCCCTCCCCCCCATATGGAGAGCAAGGGGTGCTGGGAGGGAAGAAGAGGCCTTTTGCAGGCCTTACAGCACCTGCCCCTTGCCCCCCCCCTTTCCTGGGTGGAACCCTGCCCCACTCTCCAGCCCTTTCTCCTCCTATGAGGACCCTGTGCCCAGTTCCCTTCGAACAAATCCTCTCCCCCTTTCAAGGTTCCCCTCTTTCTCCTTTGAGAGGAAAGGCCTTCTTCCTGACCCCAAGCCCACACCCCCACCTCTGCTGGCCTCCCTCTTTCCTCCCCACAGCAGCCCTGTGAGGCAGAGAAAGCATCCAAACAGGCTGCACCCAGATTTCAGAAAGAAGAACTTTTTCCCTGTTGGAGTCGCCTTCCTTCCGGAGTCTGAAAGAGGTTGTCACCTATCATAGAATCAAAGAGTTGGAAGAGACCTCCTGGGCCATCATCCAGTCCAACCCCATTCTGCCAAGAAGCAGGAATATTGCATTCAAATCACCCCTGACAGATGGCCATCCAGCCTCTGTTTAAAAGCTTCCAAAGAAGGAGCCTCCACCACACTCCAGGGCAGAGAGTTCCACTGCTGAACGGCTCTCACAGTCAGGAAGTTCTTCCTCATGTTCAGATGGAATCTCCTCTCTTGTAGTTTGAAGCCATTGTTCCCTTGCGTCCTAGTCTCCAGGGAAGCCAAAAGGAAGCTTGCTCCCTCCTCCTCCCTGTGGCTTCCTCTCACATATTTACACATGACTATCATATGTCCTCCTCAACCTGTGGAGAGGGCATGGATGGCGCCTTGCAGGGGCTGAACTGGATGGCCCCTGGAGCCTCTTTTGCATCTTTCCAGGCTAAGACCAGGTTTGCATAGCCCTTCCTTTGGGTGGTCTTCCTCTCCCCTTATTTATTTCAGCATTTACATTTCCACCCCACCTTTCTCCACCCCGGAGTGGACTCAAGGCAGTTCTGCACATAGGCAACTATTGGATGCCTTAAAACAAACCACAATTAAAATAAACATATAAATAGAATTATAAAACACATTATGTAGGGGCTCAGCCTTTGTCTCTTTGCCTCAGGCTTCTGAGGAGAATGATCATGAGTCTGCAGAGGTTCCAGTGTCTGAATGATCAGGTTTCTGCTGACTCTCAGGGGTTTGTGAATGGAGATGATGGTCAAGAGAGTACAGTTAGCCAGAGTGAACCTGAGGATTCTGGGGTTGCTGGTTCACAAGGCAAAGATGCTCCAGTGCTAACATAAAAAGTGGCCGAGGAAAAGGTTGAGAAGCCAAGACCAAATAGTGATAGTGATAGTGAAAGGAATGTACTAATTGGCAAGCTGAGGGAGGACCAGACATGCTTTGATAGAAGTCAAATCAATCATCATGGCCACCTGGAAGGGAGAAGACGGTCAGAAAGACTAAGAGGAAAAAGGAGTCAGGGAGGTTTCCCAAGGGAAGCGGAATGCTTTTGCTATGGCTTTCTGAATAAATAGAGGGCCTGTGACTCTACACTCTTGAGCGAGTTCAACGTTTGGTTTTCATGTGTAACCAACCATGCCTTTTGCTTCATGCCTGGTACCCATGCTTTCTTGTTGTACTTCTGCCTGGGATTCATGTTCATGCGGAGATCCTTATATGTGATTTGTCCTGGTTTCAAGCTCCTGCATTGAGATTCAATGGTTCAGGTTTGCTGCTGTTTCTTCCAGGGTCTTTGGTCTTCTGCAACCTTTTGGAACTGAAAGACTCTTAACTCCTGTGGACTTGGTGAGTGGATTTTTACAACCCTCCTGGTTCCTGACTAATTTTACCTTGCTCAATTGACTGTTTTGTGGACATTTCTTTCTTACTTGTTTGAATGCTTTTTACCCTTTCGGCTATATTAATCCTCAATCAACTGCTTTGCTATAAAGAACATGGGTGTGTTTAAGGGTTCAAAGGTGGCAACCCTAGCCTTGGTGTGCAACACATGAGGCAATTAAAGACATTTTCAAAACAATACATTTGCAATTAATCACGTGATCCTCAAACGCAGTCCAGGCCGCTCCAATAATCGTTACACATCCTTCCATGTCTGTCTATGGCATAAGTTATCCAAACGCTTGGTCACAAAGCCACGTTTTCACTCTTTTATGGAAGGGTAGGAGGGAGGGGGCTGACCTAGTGTCCCTGGGGAGGGAATGCTGTTGGGCGAATGGGCTTCATATCAAAGACCCTCCTCAAAAATGTATAGCGGAGTAACTCAGCGGCCCCAAATTGATAAAAGAACAGAAAGACACAGAGCGATGTTATCTCTTCCAAAGGAGGCTTTCCTAGTAAAGCAATACAGTTGCATTATTTACAATAACTATTTTCACAACACGAACAAACAAATGCATACTAGCTTTATACAC